GTGTGTGTGTGTGTGTGTGTGTGTGTGTGTGTGTGTGTGTGTATGCGTGCGTGTATGTGTGTGTTTGTGTGTGTGTATACGATTTAGTATGTACTGATTGACGATACATACGGATGTAGGGATTGTATCTGGTCTTTGGTTCTCGTTTCTAAAAAGTTTATCCTTTGAAGCTGCGGCTACGTCTCAATAACCCCTTGAAGGAAGCCGATATGATTTGTATGGAATCCCACATAACTTAAATTCGAAGAATTCGAAACAGGTATCTTTGCCCGAGTGAATTTTAAGTCCGGTTAAGGATTTCGCATCAAATGCTTCTTTATTTTGTTTCCAGTGCTTTTGTAGTCAGTGAATGACAAGCAAAGTAGTAGTATATATCACACGTACTAATCGCAGTTGATACTACAATTGCCGAGTCCCAAGTCTCTCAGACACTCTAGAAGGTAGCTAAACTCTAGAAGGTAGTTGCCTATATGGCATGGTGACTATCTATTTGCAATGCTTACCTACTTTTTGGGTTTCATTCTTTATCAACTAATCTAGTTCGATCAGCTCTAAGAGAAATGCAGGCACCTGTTTACCAATTTTGCCGGCACCGGTCTACTACTTGATGTCGCTGAAAAAGTGCACGCGTAGAACACCTAGCATAAAATCGAGACTGACTATCCCGAACAAGCAAAAGGCATTTATATCGGGTATCGGGTTTGCTTACAAAGCTCTTGCCCGAATTCTTGCATACCGTAGTTTCTGCCTCTGTGCACAATCAATCACGCGGACGGTCAGCTCTCCATTAGAGACCAGTGGTTCCCCATGGGCAATTTCACGCGCTGTATGCACAGGCGGGTAATGCACGCCTCTTACTAGCAGGTGTCGCATAGGTCAAATAAAGCTTTGCCCCGCTTTAAACATCTACTACATCGTCATAATATCTATTTTCAAACTCTGAAACCACCATGCTCGGACTGCATCTGATTCATAGGTATGCTGCTCACATCAGCCCCATACCCACTCGCTCCCTCTACATCGTCCAACTCCAAACGAGTGGTCTGGGATGTCTGCCTCTCAGGAATAGGCGCGAGTTTGGTGACACCCATCGGTAGACTGCTGGTATCCGTCTTTACCGTTGCAGCATACTTATCCTTCTCGGCCTGTATGTCATGATATCGCTTTACCAAAAAGACACCCACAACTATCCCAGCCATCAAAACAGCGCACACGGTCACCACAGCCCACACCCATGTAGGTAGTCCAACACTGTCACTACTACTACTGCCTGCCTCTCCCTCTGCAGTACCACTGGGCTGAGTGCTGCCACCGGTGGTGTCGGTTGGTGTGGCAAGCTCAAAGCTACCATCGGAATTTACACGCCCCTGGAATGGGGTACCCAGGCCGTCAATACCCTTTCCGCGACCAAACCCGAAATCAGCATCACTCGCGAAGGGGTCGAAGTCGTCTCCGAATGGATCGAATGCCGACGTGGCCATCGGGAATGTGAAAGTGGGGATCTGAGAAACTGTGGTGGCTGCAGTTGCGAATGGATTGAACACACTCGTTGTGGTGGAGCTCACACTAGTGGTCTGAAACGGGTTGACCACACTTGCAGTGGTTGTACCGGTTCCAAACGGGTCGAATGCGGAGATGAAAACATCGGTAGTCGTTAGTACCGTGGTTGCAGTGCCGAAAGGATCGAACTCGATGACAAAGTCATCGGTAGTCGTTTGTACCGTGGTCCCAGTACCAAACGGATCGAACTCGGAGACAAAGTCATCTGTGCCGGTAGTGACGAACGAGATCGTGTTCGTGGGGAATACGAACGAGAAGGAACCAGTCTGCTGGTCCGTGCTGGTGAGTCCTGGGAAGACAAATGTGGATGTCTGCACACCGTCACCTGTGGATATCGGTTGAGAAAAAGGCATACTGGTTAAGATTTTGTTCACGTGTTTTGCTGTTGGTCGTGCTGTGTACAGATATAGGCGGTAGTTGATCATGTATGGTTTGAGCTATATGTAGGGAACCACGATTGGTGTGCTACCATGGCTCTATGACATATTCCCAGACCGTCATTCCTGATATTCGTATAACTACAGTGATATTTTGCTATGATGACACTTGCACAGGGCTTATGCATTCACTAAATAGTCTGGTTATAGTATTCCCTTTTCAAATGATTTGGAGGTTATCGTATGTATGATACATATGCATTTGATGAGTGTCCAGCTATATGTTCTTGCCTTACGAAAACATCTCCATGTGGTCAGCCCTAAGTTTTTAGCGGATGCACGAGTTGGTCACACTACATACAGGCTCAAATCCACACAGGCATATATACACATTCACACGCACATGTATAAGTAAGTACATACCAGCTGACGAGGTCGTGAATTCATTTGTGGGCACGAGAGTGCCCTCTAAGTCCGTGATGGTCAGGGTCTGCGATACCGTGTTGGTTACGGTAGTTACTGGCGGACAAACCGGATTCTTACAAGTCTCTACTGCCGGACCCAAACCTTGGTCTATACAATTTGTACCGTTTCCGGATGTTTGTGGGTTTGTGCACTGGCGCGTACGAACGCCTGTGCCGCATGTAACAGAGCAGTCTCCAAACTCTGTATAACCTCCGTCGATATCTGGGCAGGGGTCCTGGAATGGTGAATAGATCGAGATGAGAGAATGAAGATAATCCATTTTTAGTCATGATGGCTATATATACCCGAAAGTCACCACATCAAGTGACAGTAAGCCTGAGCAGGCTGCATTGTTCGTGTATATGTCGGACATTAATCATTCAAATTCTTTCACTTACATTGTCACAGACGATGACATTCGGACCATATCTCTCGCAGTCTCTTCCGCCAAATTGAGGTGTAGGGTTATTACACTTCCGGACACGCACTCCATTGCCACAAGTCACCGAACATGGTGTCAGTGCTCCGTACCCTCCATCGATGGGACATTCATTTACCTATTTGTGCGAGAAAAAAAGAAAACAATTTAGTTACATGCTTCATCGAGTGTTGGAGCCGTTCATGTATCGGCATCACTATTACGCCGCCAGTTGTGTACTCGCGAGAACCTGTCAGTTGTACCTATAGGGCATGAAGACTTTCAAATAAAATCTAACGAAGCAAGAAAGTCAATTCATACGTTGCATTCCTCCGTATCATTTCCTGAACAGCTCTCATCGCCGGTTGGTGGAGGATTGTCGCAGAGACGCTGTAGGGCAACAATAAAATTTAGTTTGACGTTAATAGGCCGGATCAATCATAGCTGAAAGTGACTTTTGCACACAATATTACAATATCAGACTACAAATACGGCTGACTTTGAGCACAAACATCACAAGATAGCTGCATGATTTTGATGATCAACTGTGGCAATGTATGCTCATGTCAACTAACAAGGTATGAATACAATAATACAGCATAACGCAGTGAAATGGCAATCATACCTGGCGAATGCCGCCACCGCAGGTTGCCGTGCACCCAGACCACTCGCTCCATAGTCCTGGCTCGGGAGGACATTCGTTTAACTGGCACACAAACTCTTTTTGCAATTCTCTGTAATCTTCGGGATCGCAATAGGCATTGACCCAGCCGGCGGGGGGTACGCCATTAGCATTGATACACTCGTAGTTAATCGCAGACACACCCCAACCACAGGTGACAGGACATTCCGGTTGCTCTTCTGTCAGGCGTACATATCCCTGGCCAAATACCAACTGCCAGTAGGGCAGTGCGTTGATGTCGGCTGTATTACCAATGTCCGTATATTTATCTGGGAAAAGCACATTACTGAAAACCAAGCGCTCGAAGTCTTTAGCAATCCACAATTGGTTGTCATCGCCGTTGCACAGCTACAGAAGGGGAAAACATTGAAAATAATGTAAATCCGTGAGCTGACTTAAGTACGTACCCAACAGTTTTGTCAAAATAACATATTGGAGGCGCACGAATGGGTAGGTAGCCCGATTAGGATGCAAGGACTGATCATTTCCATCCTATTGACAAAACATATTTACAAACTCGAGGACATATGAAACTAAACTCTTTATACACAATCACTAATCGGCTTCTTGACTCGCGAATATATCAAAGCTAATGTTTAATATGAGAGTGCATATGCTTTCCAGTGCATACTGATGGTTTTACCATATGTATTGAATGCCCTATATGAAAAAGCCGTGTTAATGTGCATATGTGCCGTGTTGCAACAAATGGTATATTTGCATTCATTTTCACCTTTCTTGCTACCAGGTCAGGTCGGTGTAGTTGACTAATTGTGTTGTATGCGCATACTAGCTAAACAGGTATTCTTCAGTGAAATCGTTTAAAATTAATCCTGGATTTGCTGATTCAAGGATTGATTGACGAGAGCAAACGGTATTCATATCTCTGACACGAGGTGTATTTAAGAATTACGACCTGTAGCATCGTATTGAGATAAACTTACACTTGAAACACAACTCATACATACATGTTTAATACCCACATCTTCTATCATATATATGTCCTTTTTTTGTGAAGTTAGTGCGAGTGCGAAAGTGTAGTTGACAGAACAACAACTAAAAAAACGATAAATAACATCTTATATACAGGAACTATTGGTTTATTGGTGTGGTTCTTGCTGTATTGATACGTGGATCTGCAGACATGATACAGAAAGGGCACGCGTGAAGTTTCCAATTACTCGCGTTTCATCTGATGTTAAGATGACGTGTCACATACCACTTTGCGTACTGGATCCTGTGGTGTATCAGCTTGGAGGCAGATGTCCTGTTGTTCTGAACTCAATAGATACATTTCCCTCGTCACATTCACTAATGCATTGCATTGGTGGATGCTACTACTAAATAGAACGAGCAGCAAGAAAGCTGTTGCTCGCTGACTAGTTTTACAGAACATTCTTGTTGTTGTATCGTTGTAGCTTTGGCGTTTCTAGTTCCTACTAGATGATTGATTGCATATGCGGTGTTGTTTCACGTGTTGTTTCCCAGTTTGCTTCAAGCGTGTAATGGCATATGCTTGCAAGAAAAATCTGGAGATGAAATCATTAACACTGGCATATGCGTATGACAAGAATCTACGAGCGGCGCTCTACTTTGTATGAACTTTTTCGGATTTTCTAACTCGAATTTTGTTGTTAACGTCGAATTCAATCACTGCAGCGGCGCAACCTTTAGGAGTTTAGGGATAATTAGAGACTTTGATATCAATTTTGATCAGGATATGTTCCTTGGTATGTCTAAAAATATCTCATTTTACGGTCGCAAGGGTCATAAAAATTTACTGTCCGAGTGCCCATCAATATGCAACAATTAGTCCAACAGACCAACACAAACACATGGATTAGTTCATTGAACCATCTAGTCGATCAGTAAGTCTTCTCATTGGCCTCTATGTCACGCAACTATAGTGACTACTGGCCGGCTGGACAAAGTAAAACCTATGGTCCAATGAAACAAAATTAGCGACAAAGTAAAATATTTAGTGAGTGACTGAGTGGTGGTTACTTGGATGCTTATGGTTTTATTGTTAAAAAAATGCGTTTTGGTATTTATACGTAAAAGTACGGACTTGTTCGCTCTCCCTCATATTTTTACTTTTCATTCTAGAGATGGTCATATGAAGTTTAGCACAATAGCACATTGTTTGACTCGAGCGTCTCAGACTTCAGAGACTCGGCCTGTCTCAGTCTCAGTCTCTCAGATCTCCTCGTGGTACGTTTATAATTTACGTACTTTCTATTATATATCAAACTTGAAACTAGTGCGAGACGAGTGGCGCTTGACACAAGCGGCAACTGCAACAAGAGTGACAACTCAGATTCTCAGAACCGCAACATCAAGTGTTTTTTCAATTAAATATTAATAATAATAAAATAGAGAAACACCGAGGCCTAATAAATAAATACCATTGCCTTCTCTGTATTTTAGAAGGCTGTAAATACATACGAGCGTGTCGAGTCGTCGACTGCCGCAGTGACGAGTGACGAGTCACAGTCTGAGAACTGAGTCTATCAGGCGGCGAGCAGGTTAGGTGATATTTACACAGAAATGTCACATAGGTCTTAGACAAACCTTGAGGATGTGCCGTAGTGATTTTGTCCTATATTTGTTCTATCATGTGACAATATGCTACTATAGGTGAGACAGTGGGGCGCCCGAAATCCCTATAATGAACGAGCATAGTTTTATAGAAATAGCATTTTGAGAACAAGACTCGGCGTTTTGCAGAGCGCTGTTCAAGATACGACGACAAACATGAGATGCTGGTGGAGCGGCATGATTAGTGTATGTCACACCGTAATGAAATATTGGCATATGCAATAACGTGAAGCATATATCTCTATCACGTACAAAAGATAAGAACCATTAGAGATTCAAATCTGAATGAATACATCAGAAAATAATACAACATCAAGTATGTTTACATACGGCACGACTTCATTCATATACGTGTATCGATAAAACATCTCGACGATTCGTATATGATTGACCAAATCTAACGGCACAATTTGGGATATA